TTGTTCTTTGTTCTTCTGTTCTTTGCAGCCTCCCAAACACAACATTAACAATATTTGATAATAGCAATTTTTCACAATATTTGAAAATTGACAAACCGAGGCCAATACAAATCAAAATACCTGTGAAATTACTGAATCTGTCTAGCAAAACTAGTGTAATGCTGTCTACTTGTCAGATCTAATTGGTAGCTGAATCATAGAACAAGATGAGATCACAGAACTATAAATGAGATCAGAGATTGGCTTATCCAACCAATTTTAAATATTCCTTCTTTCATGATGAATCCCTTTCTCCTCATTCCTCAGTTTCGACCTTTAGTTCAGGCCCTTGTCGTTTCTTTCCATCTCCTCTTCATCAGACTCCCCGCCGCTGTCTCAGTGCTCCACCAGTCTAGCCACTCCTCAACTATCAAAGTTGTCTTTTTTATTTATCACTTTAACCAGACCTTTTTTCTGAAGCCTTGGTGATTTCACAACATCTTATATGTTGCAAGAATCTCCTCACCTCAAGCTTCAGAGCACTCCAAGAAGGAGCCCCAGACTTCCTTTTTCTCCTTCAGCTTCCCAACACATGCCTAAATCTCCTGTCACCCAATTTCCTCAAAGTTCCTCTCATTATAGTTAGTAAAGCTCTTACCTTTGTTTCTGGCTTTTCCCAAAGTACCATTTTGCAACTGGGAATTCTGTTTTCTCTTGGCTAGTTATGCCATCTCTTTCCTATTAGTTCAGAAACCCCATTCCTGACACACAATCTTATTAGATAACTCAGTCCTCATTTACTTTGGACACTGTCTGAATTTTTTTGCTTCTCTTTTTCCACCCTCCTAAGTTGTATTTTCTTTTAATGCACTCATTAAATGCATCTATTTCATTAACAAAATTCAATGATTTCACTGAATATGTGTATCAGACTGCCCTTTCACGTACTTTTAGGTTTATTATGTTGCCTCTGTCATACACATGTAAATATGTTCCAGTTATCAATTGCTAAGTAACTACCACAATTCGTAATGGTTTAAAACAGCAATCATTTTATTATATCTTATGAATTCTATAGGACAAGAATTTGAGAAAAGCTCAGCTAAGCCATTCTTATCACTTCATGGTGTCCGGTTGGTGGGCGGGTGGGTTTGGAGGGTCCAAGATGGCTTTACACACGTGTCAGGCATCAGGGACGGCAGAGTGCTGGGCTCAGTTGTGGGACTGTTGATCAGAGTGCCTATTTGTGGCTTCTCCAACACGGCAGCCTCGGGGTAGTCAATCCTCTTACATGGCAGCTCAAGGCTACTGGAGAGAGTGTTCCAAGAGGCTCAAGTGGAAGTTTCTTACCCTTGGAATTTCTAGAACATCACTTTTCAGCCTCTATTGGTGAAGCAAATCATTAAGACTAGCTTAGAATAAAGGTGAGAGAAATTAGACTCAATCTCTTGATGAGAAGGATAGCATAGAATTCGCAGCTATCATATATATATTTGACATTTGATAAATGTTTTTAATTACAATACTGACTTTCTCATTTTAGGAAACAGTATTGAAAATAAAGAGATTGTATAGATTGTACATGAAATGCATGTTAACTCAGTAAAATATTCAAACAAAAAAACATGTTCCTACTTTACCACCCTCCTGTAACATGCTCAGCAATTTTTTTCTTTTTAGCTAGAGAGACTATAGTATATTTCATATATAGTATATTTCATTTTTATACCCCTAGCAACTGTTTCAGAGCTTGGTACATGATAACCTCTCAATAAATGTTTGTTGAATTGAATTGAATTTGTCCTGGATTTTGAGGCAGACATGGCCAACTTATTGACTTCTCTGAATGTGTTGTAAAGGAGGATGAAACGTGGCAAGAAAATCCAGCCTGAACAAAGGTAAATCCAACAGGTGGTACTGGTATACATGCCAATTAATACAGTTCCAGGAAACATAGATGATGGTATCAGTAAATCTTCTCCATCTTCCTTTGTGCAATAGAATTTTCAAGGGATTATCCATTTAGCACGTCTATGCCAAAATTACTGCATGAGCTAGACAGCAAACATTTTGGATTACTTCTGACAAGCTTTGGTTATTTTGTACAAGAGGGGAGTAAACAAAATTATTCTATGATGCCTCTTTGTCATTAGAGAAAAACCGAGCTAATGAGTCAATAGTAAGAGTCAAAATATTTTTTTCGATTCAAAGCTTTTAATATTACAAAGTAAATTAAAATATTTTTTAATGTTGGATAGAATTTGCTTCTTTAAGCTGTGATCCTGTGTTTCTCTGCTAATTTCAAATTTAAAAAATTCTTGGCTGATGAAACTGTTATATAAGCAGAGGCACCGTTGTTCATTGTGTAACGTGAGAATCAGAAACTGTGCTGCAATTCTCTTGTCATGTTGCTGACAGAGAGTTCCAGAATTTTCACTGGAAGGATGGGTATATTTTGTAATTTGTTTTAATCCTGAGGCAATTTTATGAATTTGTTTCAAATTACTAACTAAATTTATTTTTTTTTCTGCATGCATTAGAAAAAAATCACCTCTTGTTTCCAAAAATCCTATCTACTTACTAAATTTGTTTGTCTCTGCTATTAGAATAATGCATTTTAAAATTCTTTTAAACAATCATTAGAATTTTATATCTCCTGTCATTTTACAAATATTAGTTGACAACGCTTGGTTAAAGCCAACTGAGGGATTGTAGTATAAAAATATTGCTGTATATTTCCATGACATGCTTTCCAAAGACTTTTCCGTTTTTGTTTTGCAGACTTGAAAACTAAGGCATAAGATGCTAGAATAACTCACCAAGGTCATTTAAGACAATAGTAGATTGTCTTGGGAAGATTATTACTATTTCATAATCATTCTGTCTCTTTCTAGATCTTTCTAGCTTTGTTGTCCACCTTTAAATGCCTTTTCCAATATTAATGAATTTAATTGGCCCTACATTTAATACATTAAGTTTATAGACTCTAGTCTTTCCATTAGAGACTCGTTATTCTACTGGTAATTTGTTTTAGTTGCTAGCTATTTCTGTAGTCCTTGTATTTATTTATAGTTCTTTCTTATTGCAAATTATTTCTTTAAATACATTCATGTTTGCATATATGTGGTTTTTATTTCCGATTTCACACCCCTTCCCCCTCCCTCTCTCAAGAATTTGGAACTAACTTAGTTTTCTGCTGATTCTTTCCTTCCATTTGGCAACCATTTTATTTCACTGTTTTTGAAGTGATGCAGTAAGAAAAAAATGGCTGCCTTTTGTTTATTTCCTTGTACATTAATATGATGACATCATCAAAGATATTAGCTAGAATGTACCTATCTTTAAGAACTCAGAGGTACACATAAGCCAGGAACACTCTGTTTTCCTTTTTCTTTTAATACCCCAAGGTTTTGTAGCTTTAGCAGAGCTCCTGTGTGCAGAAGGAAATGAACATGAGCATTTTGGAACAAATGCATTAAAATGGTGGCATTTACAACATATCTGAATATTTTTTTCAATGTTAAGAAAAATTTACCAAAAGACTTTTCTTTATGTCATGAAACATTCTAAATCAATGTTAACCCTACAAAAAAATATTATAAAGACTGATGTTAAATCATTGTATTTAGAGACTAGACTATTTAGCCACACTTGCTTATCCTGGCTTAAAATTATTTTAAAAAATTTCGACTGACACGGAAAATTTTTGTTATAATTATTTCCAGGAAACAATTACTTTTAATGGAAAGCCTAAATAGGTATATATATTTACTATTTTTAAGATTACTGTATTATTTACAAACACTATTAAAATGTATTGTATATCTAACTATACAGAAAATTTATTTTCTTATCTTCATTTATGGTGTTTCTGACTTTTCCTTGTTTGCTTTTTGTTGCACTTTGCCTATATTTGTCATAAGATTTCCACCGACATTAACAAGCAACAAGCTTTCAATTACCAATTCAATTTAGACAGATTATTAAACAGATGAGAGATCAATTTTTTTTCATCAAATTCCAATAAATAAATAGCTTTTTCATTTGGAAGTCCATGATCCATTTTCAAATTTTGAGAAATAACTTTAGGTAATTATTTTTTAAAATATTTTAGAAAGATAACCTGATTGTATATGTGTGTGTGTATACATATATGTGTGTGTGTATGTGTGTGTGTGTATATATGTGTATATATATTAATTTGATATCTATACATCAGAAAATCCCTGTAAATATTCAGTAGTCATCTCTGAAACTGCTTGTTAACACTGAAATCAGATAAGGTAAACCATATGCTTTATTGAGGTAAGCTGTCTAAAATAAGTTACTGCGATTTTAAGAAAATATAAGCCACATGTCCTTTAGATCTTTAAATTGAAATCTTCATTGTTCATTTAAGTCAGCTGTTCTAGGAATGTGTCATCTTTTGAGAAGATAAATTAATCATCTACCTCATTTATATACATCAATAAAAGAGACTCACCCTCTCATCTACTTTATCAAAAGTAATTAGAATATCTTTATTTTTATTCATATATAGTATCTACTAGTGATTGAGATTTTCATTGAGAAGATTTTGAAGGAAACAGCCACTTATCCTTTTAGAAAATAAGCTCTAAGAAAGAGAAACACCAGCAATCTAAAGGTTAAAACATACTGTCAAATTATTCAGTTGAGCAAGGCTCTTTATAACATTTGTACAAAAGTACTTTCAGAAAGCAGAAGGTAGGAAATGGCTTTGTGCTAGTTCCCATTCCTTAAATTATTATTCAGCCTCTTATTAAAATAAAACCTAGTTAACTTCTTTTGAACGTCTGCTCAAATGTTTTCTATAATAAAAAAAAATCTTGTGAAGGGATTTCCATAAGTTGTGCTGCATTAATGACTTAGAGCAGCTTCATAATCTGTTATTCCTTCCTCCTAGCAGACCTCAGCTGATAAAAATATCCATAGACACAGTGAAGTCAGTGGCATGCCTGGCTTTCTCAGACAGAACTCCCATGTGATCACATATAGGCAGCCTCAGTGAGGCTGATGCCGTGCAGCAAGCCGTAGGTAATGAGTCTTTGTGCAGAGTGAAGCTCTTGTCGCTGAACAATAAAGCATACGGTACCAGCAATAAAACACGGGGTTGGCAAATTTAAGAAGATTCCACTGAACCAGGAAGAACAGTGCCTTTGGTGATGCTGACATATAGTATAAAATGATAATCAATTTATTTTGGATTCTAATGAGTAAAGAGTACAAGGACTAAGACTACAGCTATTTGAACAGGTCAGTGATTTTATAAATTACTCTAAGACTTCCTTGTGTGTGGATTTAAATTGGGATGGGCTGATGTGTGTTTTGCCTTATTAAACAAAAACTTTGCCAGATATTTGCAGTGTGTAATATGAAGGATGCACTTGAATTGACCCAATGTGATTCGATTGTTGATGTAGTTAGATGTGATACAGAAAGGTTTATATGATTATAGTAAACTGAAAAGTTCTTTATCCTATTTAAAAATTTGTGGGTAAGAAAAATTCATCTGATGATTTCTAATCTTCTATATATGCAGAAATACTATAAAGCAGGATACCACTAATAAAAAACTCAAATAAAAACCATCAAATTTATTTTTTCAGTATTAAAAAATCCTGTATTGCAACAGTTTACATGTCTTATAAATTGGGTAATATATCATTCAGCATTTATTGATGTCTTTCGGTATACTGCAAGAGGAAGGTTGGGAATATTTAATTATTTGAATAAAAACATTTTAGAAATAAGAAAATTTTGAAATGTTAATAATGCTAGCTCCTAGAACAATGCATTTATATTTAACTATAGTAATATATATCTATATTATTGTGTGCCTTTTATTTTTCATGTTACATTTCTTTTGATAGACGGAAAATATTGCATAAAACCTCTTATTTCATAGATATTATTCACTCACTAATGGAGAAAAACAAATTAGCTTAATTTTAAAAATAATGGATTAATTATGTGGTGATGCATATTTCCATTGACTCACCATTTAGAAAAGAATATCTGCCTTCATGTGTATTTATAAAAATATGTACACACATCACCTTCTATATCTAGAAAATAAGCACTGCTTAGGTTTATGAGCAATAGAGAAGTTTATGTTTTAAATGGAGAGATTGCTGTGTGTAGGAAGAAAAGGGAAGAAATAACTCTAGCAAATAATAGCACAACATTGAACGTCTTTGCCAAAAACAGACCAGCATTACTGCTACGTGAATCTTTAGATTTAAATACATAGTTTAACTTTGCTCTACATTATTACTGCTGTATTGTTTTAAAGGCATCCTGGGACCTAAATTCTTTACAGTTAATTTCTTGGATACCATTTAGGATGATTGTCTTCAAGACATTAGGACACATTTAACATTTTATAGAATTACTATAGTGACTTCATGTATCTGTATAGTGACTAAAATAAATTTATGCCTGTAGGATGCTGTTTAAACCACAACAAAAAGAAAGACCCTATGTCCCTGAATGTGTGTGCAATGTGTATGCCAATGGAAAAAAAATAGCTATGTTTCAAAAACAAGAGAAGTTAATGAAAATTTTAAATTGTCCTTCCACATGTATTTAAATCAAGTATTTGACTATTTGGGTTTCCTTGGTTACCGTAGTTGCTGCTGACAGCTTCTTTTGGCGGAGAGGGGGAGGAAGCAGCACTCTAAAACAAAGAGTTAAAAACGCTTATCCATTAATAGACATGGGGGGCTGTGATGCTGACAGCCCAGTGAAATCCGCGCCCACTCCCCATCGCGTATTCCGGCTCTCCGGTGATTCAGGTATTCTGGCAGAACTGCGGTTCCACAATTCCTTACCCAGCATTCCGTTTCAGCTGCTGGAAGGCTGCCTGAGCCTTATGCAAATGAGACCAGCTCTGAGGCTTTGACTGCAGAAGCGAGGGGGGGGGGCAGCAGGGAGTTCAAAGGTCACAGGGCTGGTGGAAAGCTGGATCAGTTGCCCGAAAAAAAATGCACTGGGCTCCTCTGCAGCAGTGTTTTGCAGCAGTTAAATGAAGTGTGCTTTATTTCTCAGAGTGAAGATTTTACAGCGTGTGTGCCGTAGTCGTTTACAGTGCACGCAGGTACGGTGACAGATTTCATGATGCGCCTGATTTTATTTCTATAAAAGACACTGATGAGAATTGGCTATTTTGATTCATTGTGGAAATTGGCAGAGTGTTCTCGATTTTCAGCTTGCCTTAACTAGTTTATTAAATCTTCTTAATGTTTACTCAATTTGAAACATGAGTGTTTTGTTTCAATGGAATGATTTCATGTGAGAAAAAATTGGGTTTGGGCTTCCAAATAAGTCCATTTTGGGAGAAAGTTTTTTATTGCAGAGAGATATCTGGGTTGAAAATTTTAGGTAAATATCAGGACTTACAACTTTTAGAGGATTTTCACATTTTTAAGAAATGTATTTTAAATAAGAACTGGGTTCCTAGCCTAAAATTCTTTTGAGGTATCTGGAATTAAATAATGGAGTTCTTTTGTTCATATCCCACACAACATCATAAGGATAATTTTACTAAGTTATATTTTCATTTCATTTTAAGAGACGGTTTTGGTTTTGAAAGTTTTCATTGTATATTTTATTGCTAAACACCTTAGCAGAGAAATAATTTCTTATTTTTGGGTTACATGCTTTAAATGCTTCTTTAATTTTCCTAATTGTTATTAATTTTGGGGGGGACTTTTTAGACAATGCTATTTTGAACTCAACATGTTCAACTTCCTATGACTTTTCCTTTCAGTTAAATCTGGATTGTAAAGTGACCCTCATAAATGTCACAGACAGGACAAAAGTCTTCTTTTTCCATGTAGTAAATATCACACTTTTGTGAAATATGTGATTACATCATAGTAAAGTCTGACCTGTACCAAACAAATGTGTACTCACTTTTATTGTTCATATTGCTTTTTTATTTCCAAAACATTTTTAAATAAACTTAAAGCAGCAGATCAGACTATGTTTATCCACATCATTAAAAATTTTAGGTACCAATTCAGCAGTTACAATGTTGTTGGGAAAAATGTTATTTTAATTTGCATCAAGTGTGCATCTGTCTATATAACAAGCTGTATGTGTATGAAAGTATGTTGGAAAGATGAAGAGGCAAAATAATGTTTAGTCATGAAATTACCACTTTATGCTTTTATAGTTGCATAAGATATTTAAAACTAAATTTTATGAAGCTTACGTATAGAGAGCTAGTAGATATTTAGATAAACTTAATGACATTCTTTGCACAGAAAAGAGGGCATTAATTTTATTATAATGATTAAGATTTGGTAGTTTGGCAACAATATCTTTTATTTAAAAATGAGGGGCGGAGTGGGTGGAGGGCGGGCCAAAATAAGAGGATGGCCATTTAAAATGGTGAAGGACAATTATTTCAAATATTTATGAAATCACTCTGTAGCAGTCATTCAGGGCCAGATTCTCACCCTTTATCACTCTATGGGGACATTATGACATTTATCCAGGATCTTGAGATTAATTTAGGAAAAGAAATTCATGTTCTGGGGTGAGCTTTTTAAAAATGCGTACACTGCCATTTTCTTCTAAACTCTTTCTCTTTTGAAACTTCCAATAATGACTGCAGTTAAAGGGGGTATATTTTAAACAGTTTCTATCTTATGTTGAATGACATATACGGTCCTCTGGTCCAAACAACATATTTTTATATATTCACATGTACTTACATGTATCAAATTTATTACGAAATATGTATGTATACATACATTTTATATAGGTATATATTACATTATATATAATATATATTTAAAACAGCTAAATAAAATCTTTCTTACGGTCAACTATATTTAATCCAATAGTTTGAAAACAAAATTTTTTTTCTTTTACTTTTAACTCAGGTTGCACCCATAGTTTGTATCTACTAACCTCTGTGTGTGTTCTAGGAGAGCACAGGAAGGAGGAAAGAACCCAGTTTAAAATTCATTTAGGCAGTCTAATACTGTTAACTTTGTAAATGCAACCGCTACTAGTTAGCGCATTCTGAATATAGAAATAAAACAGTGCAGGCAAAGGAGATCCTGTGAAGGTTCTTGGAGAAAATGTGATAATAGACAATGTGAAATAAAGAGCATTGTTGTGCTTCCGTGAGCCACGAGAGAGCCATATATGTCCTGCAGCAAATTTATGGCTTTGAATATCCTGGATAATTTATGTCTGTCTCTATGCAAATTCACTCAAAACTTTGAAGTCTTTTTTTGCATTTGCTTGAGCCATACATACCACTTCCATACAGACCTCAGCAGCATATGCGTAGTAAGTTCATGGTCTGGATATTTAAATGTATATAGAAAAATGTATTTGTATAAATGCAATTCAAATCAAATTTGGAAAAGAATAAATAGCCATGTAAAAACAAATCATTGAAGGATATGCAGTTAATGTTCTTGAAGAAATGATATGTCAGACTTCAAAGAAATCTTTAAGGATTTTTCAAAAATGAATTTCCTGCTTTCTGATTACCAGTCTGTCTTTGTCATCGCTTGAAACTTGAGACCATATTGTAAGCTTGGAAAAGATTTTAGGGCAAACATGTACTCAGTCTAGCAGTATGGAACATAGTCTAAAATCTACAAATAACTGTTGTCATCTCAAAATCACATGCATGGGTTCTTGTGTTATCACTCTATATGTCCTTCTGAACTTCTGGTGCCTATGAAATAGAAAGAAGAACAAAATTAGTTTTAACATATAGAAGGAAAATGCTCAAAATAATTGAATATTCAAAACGATCACATTTCTTTGTTTTAACCTGACATTTCTTAAGAAACAATCAAAACAAATGATTGCATTTTTTTATCACCATCATTTTGGAATTTAAATAGAATTGATAAATTTTATTGAAAAGTATAAGTACAATTATACTTATAAAAATAGAAAAAGTAAAATGATTTTAAAGATCTTATTTTTATTTCATATTATTAGACACTTAGCAATGCTATAGTAATACTTTGTCTAGAACAGTTGGAAAGTAATCTGTACTAAATAAACCAATTTTCCAAATAGTTTATAACTTTTACAGCCAGTTTTTTAAAAATGTTTTTTGCTTTCATGGAAGCAAAATATAATACATACCATTCTGCCTTATTGAGCAACGTGGAAATCAGTTTAGGCTTTCCTTCATGGCATAAAAATCATTATTCCCAACATTACCTTGACCTATTGCAAAAGATGAAACTGTTCTCCAACCGTTCCCCAACACC